TAGACAAGATGGCGGTGCAAGATGGCGGCTGCCTGTAGTGGTGACCCGCAACCATGGCGATATAAACAACTTTTTATAAGGTAAAAATAATAAAACAAGGGCTTTGTCTGCAATGACTAAACATGTTTTTTATTATTGTCATTAGTGATTATCTCAATTTCGGCTAAAAGAATTGACAAAATCCTACGCACTGTGCCTTTAATTTAAATTTTTAAATGTTTAACTATTAAGAGTAAACTCTGCCTGACTTTTAGCTAAATATCTTATGAACCACTGGATGGGTTTATATTAAAATTATAAGAAAAATGTCCGTCTACATCTGACTAAAACAAKGCAAGTTTCAGGAGTGTTAGCTTTTCCACGTTGTTTTTTAAGTTTAGTTAGCGTCTGTGCTAACTGTGTGCCATGTAGRGTACTCACTGGAAGTGAAGAGCAGAATATCGTTGCACTCCTCTTCATCTGAACAGGAGCAAACGTACGCCATCCCGCTCGTCAGATTCCTCTCCTTCATCACGCAGGTGGTGCTGTTGTAGTCGTCCAGCAGAATGCCGTACAGTGGGATGATGGGATCATGGCACAGAGTTTCCACGGAGAAGCCYGTCTCGTTCTTCCTCCTGAACAGCAAAATGAGCGACCAGTTAAACGTGRTGAACAGTGGACAATCAAATTAGACTGTAAAAATGGATTTTGCATTCAGACAGCACCAAAGCCGAGTTATTGCATATATAAAGCTCTACTCAGAAATACTCTGATGATGTGGCTTCATTTGTTTTGTTTATTTCAGTTAAAACATTTCTTGAACTTTCCAATGCAGCTGTCTGTATTGTCAGGATTGGACATTTGAGGAGTGAGTTTCTCTGTTTGTTCTGATTGTTTTTGGACCCTTCATGTTGTGCTGTGTCCGTCACAGAACAAGTCTGAGCAGCGTAAATGAGGATGATAATTTTCCTGCTTGTTTGTTTTCTTTTCGTCTCCCTCTTTTCTAATCCTCATAGTYGTTTCAAATGGGATCGTTTCTGAGACAATTTGCAGTCCAGCTAAGTTTGTTATTGTGACATGCCTGGTTGCATTACAATAAATTCAGCTAATTAAACCCAGAGCTGACGTTAAAGCTGCGCAGGGAACCACTACTGGATGATTCACTTCTATGGCTCTTTAGAGGTAAACATCTTGATCTTTGTATTGACACTGAGATCTGTGTAGACAATCTTATAAGGTTGGTTATTATTAAAACGTTAACAGCTGAATGTTTTGCCTTTTTTCCAGGAACCTGCTGATGTTTCTGTTTGTWYATCTGACAGTCCTGTCTGTGACATGGCTGTGTGTGGATCTGAGTCATAAAACAGTTTGAGGTCCAGTTTACCACTGAGTGTGATCTGACAAGTCAGAAGTACGATGAGGAGAGTTCTCTGCTCCCAGACACCTACCAGATGGAGACACAGATTTCACTGGCCTTTTCACAGATGGATGAGATGGAGCAGTTGGTGGAGCACGTCCCTGTGCCGTTACAATCGGAAGGCTGCAGGTCACAGAACATACATAACTGGTTGTTGCTGCCGAAGAACATCGCATCTGCAAACAAAAACACACAAAATGTCATTTCTGTCTCTGAAAGTACAAAATATGGCAGAAAAATGAGTCTTTCAATTTGTTTTCACTTTCTTTAATACGCTTCATTAAATTACCACTCAATTTAATATTTGTCTTTTTTTTAACCAGGTATGTTCCGCTGGGATCACAGATCCTTGTTTAAGGACCTGGGRCAGAAGGCAGACTAAACATGTTGCTCTGAGGAAACCAATGCAAACATGGTGAGAACATATACACACAGAACCCAGAGGCCTTCTTGTTGTGATGCAACAGTGCTAACCACTGAACCATCACGCTGCCACTAAACCAACATCAAGACAAAACATTCAGAGGAAACCACAGTTATCAGGCTAACTTCTGTTAACTGAGATTTATAAGATCTAAAATCAAAAGATGTGCCAAATCTGCTGACATGAAAGTTTGGTACATTTCGTGCAAGAAAAGACCGTCTGATGAGAAAGGACAGAGTTAAAAGCGTTTAGGTCAAACCTTTAAATGACATTTTGTTATCTGAAGTGAGAAATCACATGCTGTGTTAGCTCTGATAGTGTTTACTAATGAAGACCACCACACCAAACTTCAACAGAGTAACTGTAAAACTGACTGGGTTATCACCAAGTCTGTGTGACCCATCACATCAAACTGAGATTCAGTCACATTTGGTCAAAAGGATCTCAGCACATTTTCAGATTCCTGCTTTTTAAGCTACATTTTGATCCCTGGATCATCCTGATATTATGCAGTTCCAGAGATATGCCTTGATTTGTCTTCGTAACCAGGATAACTCCTTGATATTTGGTGTGAATCCTGTTTTTAGGTTATTCTAATAAGGWATGTTTGATGTAATTTTTAAAGTGCAAATCCCAAACAACCTTTGGGTATTAGGACTTATCAGCTGTGAATAAAAAAAACTTTGCTAACTTGCAGGGAAGACGACAAAATTTTAAAGGCACAGTGTGTAGGATTTGTTGTTTTCAGCGACATCTAGTGGTTGAATCATCCTCCCTGGTCC